CTAATCGCCCAAGCGAAGCAACTCTTTAGCTCTTTTGAGTCTATTTTCTTTCTGTTACGGTGTAAGTTCTTGCACTTTTTGCACTTTCAATGACTTTACCCCGAGCTCATTTTTCAATGTTTGTCGAATGGAATATTGCGATATGTTCAGCTCACGAGCCACTTTTTCTTTACTTTTCAAACCATTTCTGTTGATATTCTTGTTTTCTTCCGTCCACTTCCTTGACGTCGGGCAACGCCACCAGTATCACGTTAACGAGCGATGGTACGAGACTCAAAAGATTTATTCACATTTAAATGCTGAAGTGCTCTAAGGATAGCCACTAGTGGGTTTCCATCCAAATACAAAGAAGTCACACTATCACGCTTGAATTCCATCACGAATAACTTTTTTTCTGGAAAATTCTCACCAAAATACTTTTGTAAGCTTGTAAACAATATAATGAGCTGTCACTGGGATAATTTTAACAGCTGTCGGACGAGTGGCTTAGATATGACAGCAGTCTGAAGTTGGTAGCAGTTTTTTTTTTATCTCACCCTGTACTATTAAAAAATGACCTATGAACTCTTAATTAGCTTTTCAAGAGGTATCGACGTATAATCGATAAAATGTGGACGATTTTACAAAGAGTTATCGATGACCAATCGAAGATCTATCGATGGATTATTGACGACTTGCCTTTGCGTTTTCATTAAGTTATCTACGAGTTATCAATGTGCTATCAACGAGTTATCGCACAATAGTAGTATATATAAGATCTTTCAAGCCATGGAAGAATCTCCGATGACCTACTGACTAGATATCGACATTCAATTTGATTCGTTTATGAGCTAACTCCAATTTAATGGTACCTTCTGCATTTCGGTTTTTTTGAAGTATTCAGCCATGATTTCCAATGGAATTAATTGTAATTTTACAAAAATCTTCTGTACAGATCAGAACTGCCGAAAAAAATTATACTCGCGCTTATAAAGACGTACAATTTAGGTCCACTTTTTTGTATAAGGCCATATTTGTGTATCTTTGGAATTGTGGTTATAGTCACAATTTCTGTCCGAACTTGCTGGAATTTGGTATTTTCTGTTTCCAGCATTTCTTCAACAATAAAAATTTAAAAAAGTCCACGTTTTAACAAAACTTACTATTTCTGACCTGTTTTATTTGTTTTAAAGTCACTGCCGCATATCCAAGCCCATGTTCAGAATTTTGTTCCGCCCCCATTACTAAATCAAGAGTCAGCTCTGTAGGGTCTAACATAATCGTCTTCCCCATCTATAATCATCTCTCAATCATTCACTCATAATCCATTTGGGCCACCGCATAAAAAAGGTCATCCGAAAACAACTTATCATTGGCGATGCATTTGCGCATGCGTGTCTAAACACATGCACTAATTACCCAAGAACAGATATGTGCAAAAAACAGCTACATTCGGTTAATTAAAAGAAAATTGTATGTTTTTTAAATTGAATTTCAAAACTACAACAACTCATGGATTTCTAAATAGCAATTGGATTTCAAGTTCAATTTTTTTTTTTTGTAATTTAAGTGCTCATCTTCAGTTTCAATGTCAGTGTAACTCTGAAAATGAAAATGTAGCAGAAACGAGGCTTAGCAATAACATTTAGTTTAGAAAAAAAGGCAACAACAACAAAAAATACAATAACAACATCTTCAACAAAACAACATTCTAAAACGAATCATCATCGTTTTTAAATTTATGTTGCATCTGCTTCTAAGTTTTTGTTTTAAAAAAAATAATTGAAAATCTAATTCACTTGACATTGAGGCAGATGTGTGTGTGTGTGTGTGTGAGTTATGAGTGCATAAGTACTCGTCTATGTGTAGGTCAGCATGTATGAATGAAATAAGGTGCGTATAACGAAATTGATTATCGATGAATGAAGATGATGAGGTTGCACTTATCCGTATTAGATACTTTTTAATATCTGCATGATTGGGGTATTGATAGGGCAATTTCGAAAGCGGGATATGATAGTTAAAAATTGTGAAAGAAGATATTATATTTTTGCAATTAATAATTAAAGTTTGAAACAAATATACAAACAACTACAAAGGATTTTTGTCGCTATTTTTTAGAAACTCTTTCCGTGCATGGCAAAGTTTATTAGGTGATTTTGTACCCTAATTTCCAAGCAGAATATCATAGTGAAGACCTTAAAAACTCGATTATAACGATGTAATTTTTTCTTTAGGAAGTCAAATCTTCAACAACGAAAAAAAAAGGAAAGGGTAGATTTCCACTGTTAAATAATCAACATCGATAGAGTTAGGAAAAAAAACTCATAACATATACGCCTGTTCATTAAAACAAATTTCACACGCCCAAAGATCTGATATAAAGATAAAAGATATCTGCCCACCAGAAGGATTGGACCGATATGGATTTTGTTTTAATAAAAATATTTAGATACACCTACTTTGAAAGTAATCGGATACATATTTCACTTTTTTTAGTTATGGCTATTCAACATTTTGATTCGTTGTGGGGGAGGTACCAGAAGGTGTTGTCCGTTCTTCATACCAGATCTTGTGTTGATAGAAACATTGGGATATACAAAATTTGAAGACAAAAACCTTTTATGGAGGAGGTACATGCTGGAGCTGGCCGAGCTACCAGAAAAAGTCGACCGATACTGTTCATATTGGAATTCGACCAAATTTGGATGGACGACTCCAAATGTCCCAATACGGATTTGGTCCAAAGAGACCTAGGGTCTAAAACCTTTATTTCGAAGAGACACGTTTTGGCCAAATCAAATTCAAATTATATATACCCTCGGTAGCCATACAACTGAGGGTCTAAAAAACAATGACTGCCTTAGAAAAAACTTTTTTGACCCTTTAACAAAACTGCAAATAAATTCCATGCCAAGTCCTGGAAAAACTCTTTAAAAATTCTACTTGAAAATTCCACGACTGGCTTTTGAAAAAATTGCACATAAAACCAACGCCTTTTCTTCAAATAAATTCTAAGAAAACTCCCGCATATCATTGAAACAATTACCCTAAAATATTAGTTCTTGGAAATATTTTGACGACTATAAATTGAAAAAAGTCCTTACATATTCCATCGTCTAGTCCTTGGAAAAATCCTTAAAAATTCCGTCGACTAGTCCTTGAAAAATCCTTAACAAAACAATCGACTAATCCTTAAAAAATCGTTCAAAATACCGTCAACTAGTCCTTAAAAAATCTTTAACAATTCCTTTGAAAATCCTCAAAAACTTCCGTCGGCTAGTCCTTGGAAAAATGCTATTAAAATTCCCGATTAGTCCTTGAAAAAAAAATCCATAAAAAATGCACGACTAGGTCTTTAAAACAATCCTTTAAAAATCCACGACTATTCATCGAAAAAATATCTTTAAAAATCGACGACTAGTTTTTGTACAAATTATTTAAAAGATCTTTGTAAAAATACTTCAAAAAGTCAACGACTAGTCCTTGTAAAAATCCCCTCAAAATTCTCGACTATTCTCGAAAAAGTATTAAAAAAAAAATATACGGCTAGTCCCTGTAAAATACCTTGAAAAATTTAATTAAAAAATCCACGGCTAGCCTTTTGAAAAATCCATGCCTGTCCCTTTCAAGAAATCCCTAAAAAATTCACATCTGATTCTAGGAAAAAATCCTTGAAAAATATTTTTTTTCAAAATTTCACAGTTGGTCCTTAAAAAATTCGCTAAATGCCTTGTTTTTTTTGTTCTTAAAAAATTAACTAAATTCCAAAGCTGATCATTTTGATCCACAAAAAAAATTAAATCCACGTTTTGGTCCATAAATCCCATCCATATTTCTTCTTTGGAAAACCTCCTTGAAATATCTAAGCCTGGCCCTTTAGAAAATTGATAAAAAATCCAGGCTTTGTCCTTGAAAAAATCCACAAAAGTTTCACGCTTGGTCTTTCAACTAAGTTCCTCAAAAAACCACTCTAGGACATTGAAAAAAGCCTAGTCCTTACAAAAATTAAGCTTTGTTCTTAAAAAATTGCCAAAAGACTCATTCCAGTTCTTTGGAAAAAAAACTTTAAAATCAACGTTCATTTAACTGTTGGTTCTTGAAGAAAACCCTGACGAACCACGTTTATTAGGCTGCTGATCCTTAAAAAAAATTCTTTAAATTCTTCGTTTTTGTTTTTGAAAAATTATCTAAAAATCCACACCTGATCCTTCCCTGAAAAAAAAAAATAAAAATCCACGTTTTGTTCCAAGAAAAAAATTGAAAATTCACGTTTTGGTCCTTGAAATCCATTCCTTATAATGCATATTTTGGTCTTTGGAAAAATTTTTTAAACAGGGCCTGGGCCACCTAAAAATCCACGCCTTGTGTTTGAAAAAGTTCCCCCAAAGGTTTTATGCTTGACCTTTGAATAAAGTTAAAATCTACTCTAGGATAATGAAAAATGTCGGGTCCTTATAAAAATTATTACAAAATACCAGCCTAGTTCTTAAAAATTTGCCTAGAGACTCATTCCTGTTTCTTCAAAAGAATTCTTTACAAATCAAGATTCATTTAACTGATGGTTATTAAAGGAAATCCTGACAATTCCTGGTTTATTAGATTGATGCTCCTTGAAAAAAACATTATTAACTTCTTCACGTTCATTTAACTAATGGTCCTTCAAAGTCCTTAAACATCCAACTTAATTAAACTGATGGCCTTTTGAAAAAAATTTTTCGTTTTTGGAATCCTTAAAGCAGTATTTTGATATTTATTTGGTCAACTGATTTCGCTTGTAATTACATTTTTCCCACAAATTAATCCAAAGAATCTGTTCGATTATTGCAAAAAAAGCCTGACTCGTCTAGCTCCAAAAATAAATCACAAAAATTAATTAATTCATTATCCAAACGATAAATCTAGCCCCAATTGAGCCAATTAAGATTAATGTCCTTCGATAACACACTCACCAAAAAAAAGGACACTGAGCACTGAGCAAATCCTTTTGCCGGCAAACAATGTTTGGTTCATTCGTGAAAATGTCGTTTGCGGTACCGGTACAAAAAACGCCATGGCACAAACGGCTCTTTCGCAAACTGTGCACATCGCCCAACTACTACAAGTCAATGCAACCGATGTTCTGGACAACCTTTGTATCGGGCGTAACACCGTTTCGCATCGCCAGTCTCCCGAATGGGGCGAAATATTTGAAAACTTCCTGTTTTGGATATCTGAATTTGTTCGTCCATTTAATTTTGATGGCCTACTGCTATGCCTATACCATGCTCCACAATGAATCTGTTGTCGGATACTTGTTGAGCACAAAGGTATCGAAATATGGAAATTATTTGCATGTCTGCATTGGGGTAATGGGCGCTACCATCCTCCCCGTGGCCGCCATAATTCGCAAAAAGACACTGGAGAAGTCATTCAACATCTATTTGGAGGTTGATCGTCATTTCGATCAAATCCATGTCGGTTTGGACTACTCGCAAATTTTACGTTACGTCCTGTTTGTGTTGAGTCTGGTGGCCATATTCGATTGTACCATCACCGTGATTTGCATTTATTGTTTGAATTCGATAAGTGTTTATCCATCGCCATGTTTGATCTTCATCGCCGTTGCTGAGGTGTTGGGAATATCGGTGACAATATCTCTCTTTTGCGCCATGGTCAGATCGGCTCAGAGACGTTTGCGTCGCTTGAATTGGGTGAGTAAAAAAAAGGTCTTAAAAATGAAAAATTCATTTAAAAAATCCACGGCCTTCAAAAAAAGTCCTTTTGGTTCGGAACGTCATTAAAAAATAATGTTAAAAAAATCGTATCCTGAAAAAATTGTCTTAGCAATCCATGTCCTTTTGAAAATATTTTAAAAAATATTCTGAAATTACTTGGAAAATATACGTCCTTTGGATAATATTATCTTAAAGCTCCACTGCCCTCTACAAAAACTATCATAATATTGAAAATATTTTTGAAATATACATTTTTATTTTCAAATAAAAAATCTTAAAAGCAGCTATCCTTCTAAAAAAAAATCCTTAAAAATTCACGAGCTTCTAATTATAAAAAAAAATCCGATAACCCATATCCTTCCCAAAAATACAATTGGAATACAATGGATTTAAAAATCCACGTCCTTTCTAAAAATAGTATTCTAGAAAAATCTACATCCTTCCCCAAAATAATATTCTACGAAAATTCAGATCCTTCTCCAAAAAAGATTCTTCGAAAATTCACATCCTTCCCGAAAATACAAATGGAATACAATGGCTTTAATAATCCACGTCCTTCCTAATAATAAAATTCTTTGAAAATCCAGGTCATTCTAAAAAAATTATTTGAAAATGTACGTCATTTCCAAAAATATCTTAAACAAGTAAAAAAGCTGTACATTCGGCCGGGCTGAACTTTGAATACCCTCCACCATTTGGTACAAATTTAACAATTTTCAAAAAAATAAAAATCGTTAAAAATTCAGTTAAAATCTTAAAGCCGTATAATGTAGCTAAAATCATCAAAATATCGAATATAGGGAGGTACCAAAGGGGTTTTAAAATGCATAAACAATTTTCCGTCATAGGCTGTAGTATCCATTACGAACTTCAAATCCGAAATTGGAAACAATTCCGGTAAATAATGTCGCTAAAATCATCAAAATACCGAATATCGGGGGGTACCTTTATATAGAAGCTATACGAAGACGTGGACCTGCATGACCCCTTTTCTGTCTTAATCCGTATTAATTTTGAAACAATTCCGGTAAATAATGTCGCTAAAATCATCAAAATAAAACATATCGGGAGGTACCGTTGTATGGGGGCTATACGAAGACGTGGACCTGCACAGAAAATTCTTTGTCTTAGGCTGCAGTATCCATTACGAACTTCAAATACCAAATTTGAAACTATTCCGGTGAATAATGTCGCTAAAATCATCAAAATACCGAATATCGGGAGTACCTTTATATGGGGGCTATACCAAAACTTAGACCTACATGGCCCATTTTCAATACCAAAAGTCCTTCAGACATAACATACATTTGAGCAAAATTTTATCAATCTACGGACATCGCTAAATCGACATAGAATTTTATGCTGATCAATAATATATATACTTTGTGGGGTCTAAAATGTATATTTCGAGGTGTTACAAACGGAATGACAAACTTAAAATACCCTCCATACTATGGTGGAGGGTATAAAAATGCTTTGAGAGTCTTTAAAAATCCACGTCCTTCAACAATTTTGTTGAAAATCAACATTCTTCTAAACCTCTTTCTAAAGAATCCTTACACGTCCTTCTAAAATAAACTTGAAAAATTCTTGTCCCCCTAAACATATCATTTAAAAAAATTCGTAAAAAAATCTTATTTTTTACTCAGAGTTTTTCCAAAAATTAAAATAGATTTCTAAAAAATACACGACCTTCTTCTGAACTTATTCTTTAAAATCCGCAACTTTCTTAATATTTTTTTATAAAAATCAATTTTTAAAGGAATGAAAACAATAGTCAACTTACCCCACACCTCTTCAGAGGAGATCAAATAGACTCTTCGCCTGTCCATTACATACCAAAAATCAGTCGTTATTAAAACGAATTAGATTTAAAAGACGAACTGGAAAATAATTAATTCTAATATAAAATTTCATTGATAGTCTGCATTTTTTTTTTTTTTCAATAAAATCCAAAAATATAGCTCTAAGTCTTGGCAAAAAAAAAACCTTATTAGACTCATAACTTTTCTCCTCACGACTAGACCTTGTGCGCTTACTCCTTACAAAACCATGCCATAAAAATTCCATGTTTAGTCCACTAAAAAAATCTCCAAAACAATCAATCTTAAAAAGAAAGAATCTTAAAAAGAATATCATTAAAAAATCTCTCAATGCTGAGAATTTGCGAAAATTCCATATGGTTCTCACAAACTCCTTAAAAAATCATTGAAAAATTCCATAAAAACTGATGGCTGGCCCTAGGAGAAGGCCTTAAAAACCTTTCAACAAGTTACAAAGTAATTGTCGTTTTTGCCGACAGATGTACGAGTTGGGTATACATTTGTTCGATTATTTAAATATATCCTAACTTCTGTTATGATTATTGAAATTGTTGACCCCCTATGGAGTAGGTTCTGAAGGCAAGGGCCAATATTGTCGGACCTAAATAAATATGATATAAATATTGCGCCTGGCCAGTTTTGGACTATTGTTAGAAAATGTTAAAATATTCGTGATGTGCCAGATATAGTCGACCGAAGTATTCCATTTTCATACTTCATCTATTACAAATAAAAAAATTGATATGAACAAAATTACAGGAAAAACGAACATTTATATCCAATTTTCTGCGAAATCATAAATTCCGATAAATTCCATATTCATCTCAGGTTTCTGGTTGAGAGAAATATTTACCTATAGCAAATTGTAAGGAATTGCTGTCTTGCTTCGCAGGTTGTGACATAAAAGTATTGAATATTGTGACCCTTTGTGGCTGAAACATATCTGGAAGAGGTACCAGAACAAATTGTCCTATTTCTCCTAACTTTATAACAGATCTTGTGTTGATAGAAATATTGAGATTTGCCAAGTCTGAATGGAATCGGATGTTGATTTCGCGTTATTGATATTCAAAAATTTGATCTTTGTTTGGGAGGTACCAGAAGGAGTGGTCCGATATATCTCTTCTTCACAGTAAAGCTTGTGAAAGTAGAAATAATATAATGTGTGAAATATGATAAGAACCGGATGCTTATTTCGAATTTTATAATAGTTTTGGTTATTCAAAATGTTGACCCTTTGTGGAAGAGGTACCAGAAGAAATGGTCCGATTTCTACCATCTTTATTACAGATCTTGTGTTGATGAAAATATGATGATGCAAAGTCTGAATCTGGAATCTGATGTTAATTTCGTGTTTTATGAACTTCATGAATATTTAAAATTTTGGGGTCGGTACCAGAAAGAGTGGCCCGATATATTCCATCTTCACACCAGACCTAGGGTTAATAAAAATATTGTGAAGTGTGTAATTTGAAGACAGTCGAACACTTACCTCACAATTTATAAGAGTTATAATTATTCAAAATTATGACTGTGGGTCACCCAGCACTGGCGCAAATATTAGGATTTGCACAGTTAGGCCAAAATCTGCTTAATCTTTCTCTTTCTGTGCAGTAAATTATTTTCTTTGAAAATGATAATATTTTGTGGGGGAAGTACCAGAAGGAGTGTATTGCCCATCTCCGAACTCGATCTAATTTTGACAATAATATTACGATGTACCAAGTTTGCACCAGATCGTATACTCCCTTCGAGAGTTATCGCACGCACCAGACAGACGGACGGACCTCGCCAGATCGACTCCAAATGTCTTGAAACGAATTTGGTCCAAAGATACCTAAAAAAACCGAAAGGTATAAAAATCACACCTGGTTCTTGAAAAATTTCTCTATAAAGCCCACGATTAAAGCTTAAAATCCATGCCCTGTTCCCGATAAAAATCTACGCGTAGTCCTTTCAAAAACACTCTAATAAGGCCACACCTGATTTTTGAAAAAAAATATATTCAACAAAATCAAATCCTGGGAACATAATTCTTTAAAAAATATTTAAAACATAGTCCTTCAAATATAAATTATAAAAAGTGCACGTCTGATTCTTGAAAAAATTGTAAAAAAAAAATCTTCAAAAGATCTACGCCCTTAGTGAAAAAAACTAAAACCCACATCTAGTCCTTTAAAAATCGTTTAAAATTCACTGAAGTCATCGAGAAGAAAATCTCCATAAAATTCATACCTAGTCCTTGAGGAAGATACGTTTTTTCCTCGAAAAGTTATTCAAATATTTAAGCCTAGAATTTGAAAAAAACAGTTCACGATTGGTCCTTAAAAAACCTAAAAAAGTCCTCGCTTGGTCCTTGACAATTTTTCAAGTTTTGTCCATAAAAAAAGTAATCCACTATTGGTCCATAAAGAACCCTCCTGGTACTTAAAAACAATCACTGACAAACCTTTACTTAGTCCTTTTAAAAATCGAACCCTCAAAATATTCTTAAAACAATAGATTCTTCAAAAATCCTCATAACATTAACCCTTTCAAAAGTCCACACTTAATCCTTGCAAAAAATACACCTTAAATACACTCATAGTCCCTAAAAAAGATCTTATATTACCTATACATGGCTGATGAAAAAAATATTAAAAATCAACTCCTGGGCATTGCAAAAAATCCGCACTAGGTTCTTTAAAATCTTTAAAAAATCACTCTTGGCTCATCAAAAAAAAAACAAAAACCAACTTGGTAGAGCTGTTGGTCCTTGGGGAAAAATCATTGAAAAGCCACGTTCAATAGGCTGAGAGTCCTTGAAGATTTTTTTCTGATAAAATCCAAGTTAATTAGACTAATGGTTGTTTAAACAACTTCCTTGAAATCCACGTTTATTGGCTTGATGATTTCACGATTGGTCCTTAAAAAACCTAAAAAAGTCCTCGCTTGGTCCTTGACAATTTTTCAAGTTTTGTCCAAAAAAAAAGTAATCCACCATTGGTCCATAAAGAACCCTCCTGGTACTTAAAAACAATCACTGACAAACCTTTACTTAGTCCTTTTAAAAATCGAACCCTCAAAATATTCTTAAAACAATAGATTCTTCAAAAATCCTCATAACATTAACCCTTTCAAAAGTCCACACTTAATCCTTGCAAAAAATACACCTTAAATACACTCATAGTCCCTAAAAAAGATCTTATATTACCTATACATGGCTGATGAAAAAATATTAAAAATCAACTCCTGGGCATTGCAAAAAATCCGCACTAGGTTCTTTAAAATCTTTAAAAAATCACTCTTGGCTCATCAAAAAAAAAAACAAAAACCAACTTGGTAGAGCTGTTGGTCCTTGGGGAAAAATCATTGAAAAGCCACGTTCAATAGGCTGAGAGTCCTTGAAGATTTTTTTCTGATAAAATCCAAGTTAATTAGACTAATGGTTGTTTAAACAACTTCCTTGAAATCCACGTTTATTGGCTTGATGATGATCCTTGTAAAAATCCTCAAAAATCCACACCCTTGGAAACTCGTCCCACCCTATTGTGAATCGAATATCCTATCAGACTTTAACCCTTCATCGATGACCATCACTGTGGCATTGTTACCTATGCTAAGGACCTTCGATAGAAAAAAGGATCATATTTCCAAAATAAATGACCATCACATCGATGATGAGCAAACCCACAAAACGGTGGAGTTGCGCACTGAAATATTTGGCCAAGAGCATTTCGAGACCGGAGAAAAACGAAAAAAATATGGAATGTTTAGAAAACAAACAAAACACCGACAATGATGACAACTAAAGCAATGTCGGTAAATTTTTGACCGGCCACAAAGTCAACACATTTTCGCACACTCACTAACACACACGCACCCAGACATATCGAAATCTTTGGAGACGCGTGCTACATTTAGGTGGGGTTGGTGGCAAATTATTCAAAATTTCGGTTTATTTGAACAACATTAGGTTTTTCGTTGTTGTTGCCAATTACCTGGCGAGGGACTCTATCATTTGGATACGATACGATGACGAACTATCAATTTTGTGTGTGAATAGTCAAAAAGTCGAGAATGCATAGACACTCACACACACGTGTGTTGACTTTCACCGGCCGAGTGTCATGTTCGTAATGTTGCCAAAGAGGTTCTGTGAGGAGGATGGGTAGTTTTAGAGTTGTCCATAATTTCATTTTAATACTAAAAATTCCATTTTAATACCAAAAGGAAATTCAATTAAATAACGAATAAGTAAAGCATTAATTATGGAAAAAATTGCACGACATAAAATGAATTAGTTTCAAAAGAAACTAGTATGTAGAAGACTGCTCAGATTCATTACTATTCTCAAGCGGAGTCATATTTTAAGATAACAAAAATTTCCTGATGAAGAATCCTAATAAAAATATTTAACCTTTGACATTTTTGCTCATGTTTAGCAATTAATGTCTTCCTTTGACATCTTATCTTACTTTGAACAAGTTAAAAAGGATCAGTTGGTTTTGCCGACAAATGTATCCCCCTTAGCCAATTTTCGATTATTTAAATATATTTTGACTTCTCTCATGATTATTCAAAATGTTGACCTTTTATGTAGTAGGTTACGAAGGAATGGGCTAATATTGGAAATATGCGTCTGGTAACAGATATAGCGGACCGAAGTATTCCATTTTCATACTTCACCTCATACAGGTAAAAGTATTGGTATGTACAAAATTTGAAGGAGATCGAACCATTATATTCAAATGTATGCGAAATCATAAATTCCGATAAATTATATATTCATATTAGATTTCTAGTTAAGAGAAATATTTATTTATTAAAATTGTGATCCCTTGTTGATGAGGTATCAGAAGGGGTTGGCAGATGTATATCATCTTCACAACAGATCTTGTGTCAGTAAAAATGTTTGTATGCAATTTGAGGAGGTGGATGGATGCTTATTTCGCTTTCGTTGAGCATTCTGTTTTTCAAAATCTTGAAAACTATGTGCGGGAGGTACCAGAAGAAGTGGTGCGGTCTCTTCCATATGTATAACTGATTTTGTGTTGATGGAAATATTGAGATGTGCCAAGTCTGAATGGAATTGGATGTTAATTTTGCGTTTTATGAGCTTCACGGACATTGAAAGGGTCAACATCCTTTTGTGAGAGAGGTACCAGAGGGAGAGGACCGATATACCCCATCTTCACAGCAGACCTTGGGTTAAACAAATTTGTGATGTATGTATCGGATTTTATTATTATTTTAGTTCTTCAAAATGTTAACCCTTTGTGAGGGAGGTACAGGAGAGAATAATTTGATCTCCACCATCTTTATAATAAATCTTGTGTTGATGGATATATTGAGCCTGAATGGAATCGGTGGATAATTTCGCGTCTTAGAAGCTTCATGGGTATTCAAAATGATATTCACATCAGATCTCGTGTTAGTAGAAGTAATGGGATGTGTTAAATATGAAGAGAACCGACTGCTTATTAGGAATTTTATAATCGTTTTGGTTATTCAAAACTTTAACCCTTTGTGGGGGTGGTCCCAGAAAGAGTGGACCATCTTCTCATCAGACCTTGGGTTAATAAAAATATTGTGATGTGTGTAAATTGAAGAGAACGGGACTCTTCCATCACATTTTATAAGAGTTATAATTATTTAAAATGTTGACACTTTTTGGGGGAGGTACCAGAGAGAGTGGACCGATATTGTCCATTTTCGCACCTGACCACGGATGCAAATATTAGGATTTGCAAAGTTGGAACAAAATCGGATTATCCTTTTCCTTTGTGTACCAGAAGGAGTGGACCTATATTGCTCATCTCCGAACTCGATCTAAGTTTGACAATAATATTACCATGTACCAAGTTTGAATAAAATCTGATACTCGCTACGAGGGTTATCTTGTGCACCAACCAGTCTTGAATCCGTTTCAAATGTCATAAAACGGATTTGGTCCAAATGGATATAGGGTATGAAACCGTTATTTGGATGAGGCACGTTTTGGCCGTATGAAATTTCATATACCCTTTGTATTCATATGGCTGAGGGTATAAAAATTCAGGTTTTATTCCTGCACTTTCTTCATAAATAGTTTTGAAGGTCTACAAATGTCGTAAAGTCCCTCAAGACCTCAGAAAATCCTTCTAAAGTATTCCCTAAAATACATATATATTCTTACATACATAATTTTTACATTTTTTCAAATTTTATTGAATGGAAGCAAAAAATGTCGGAAGTAGCATCACATTTTAGAATAAGTTTAGATTTGTTCGAATTGGTCACCTTTATCACGAGTTATGGCCTTCAAATGGCCAATGAAACCTTCACACACTGCCCGACTGTTGCTCTGCGGTATTTTGGCCCATTCACTTTGGTATTTTTTAATGCCAACCTTGCTTTCCAAAATACTCCAGGCGCAATAGTCCAACGGATTGGTATCCAGAGATTTTGGTGGCCATTGTGCGCTGGAAATGAAGAAACCACATTTTGTAAGCATTCTTGGGTAGCGCGTGCTAAGTCCGATGATTTTCGCTATAATATTCGGCATTTATTCTGATGCCATGGACGATTAATACGAGCGGAGAGCGACTATCGGGTGTTATGGCTGCCCACACCATCTCCATGGCCGGCGCTTGAGTTCTGATGGCCAACCGAAGGTGCACATTTTCAGCTGACCTATTTGTCAAGTAAACACGATCATTTTGATTGTTTACAAACTGCTGGACAACGAATGTTTTTTTATCGGAATAAACCAAATTTGGCAATTCACCATTTTCGGCCAGGTGAAGCAACTCTTTAGCACTTTTGGGTCTATTTTTTTCAGTTGCGGTGTAAGTTCTTGCACTTTTTGGAATTTCAATGGTTTTACCCCGAGCTCATTTTTTCAATGTTTGCCGAATGGTATATTGCGATATGTTCAGCTCACGAACCATTTTTCGACCACTGCGACGCGGGTTTCGATCAAGTCGCTTCTTTATTTTTCGAATCATTTCTGCTGATGTTGCTGTTTTCTTCCGTCCACTTCCTTGACGTCGGGCTGCGCTGCCAGTATCACGGTAACGAGCGATGGGACGAGACACAAAAGATTCATTCACATTTAAATGCTGGAGTGCTCTAACAATAGCCACTTGTGGTTTTCCAACCAAATATAAAGAAGTCACACTATCACGCTTGAATTCCATCACCAATCACCTTTTTTCTAGAAAATTCTCCCCAAAATGCTTGTGTACCCCTGTAAACAATATAATGAGCCGTGACTGGAATAATTTTAACAGCTGTCGGACGAGTGGCTTAGAAATGACATGAAGTTGGTTACAGTTTTTTCATCTCACCCTGTATTACTTGAAAATAAAACCATTTCTTAAAAATCCACGATTATATCCCTGAAAATGTTTCAAATATCAATTATATTAGAAGTGCGTGATTGAAATTCTGCAAGTCCTTCAAACATCATTTCAAGGTGATCCTTTAAAAATCCACGACATAAGGTTGAATACATTCAAAAATATATCTTAGAAATGCGCGATATAAATCCTGAAAGTCTTACAAACTTATTCCTTAAAAATCCACGCATAAAGTCCTAGAAGTAAAAAACAAAATATTCCTTAAAAAGCGACCCTAAAATCCTTTAAAATGTTCCTAAAAATTTGCGTCTTAAGTCTAGAAAATACTTCAAACCTATTCCTTAAAAGTCCGCCAAAAACTCATTTTTCGACCAAATGACAAACACATATGGCAACCCTAACCGACATGTTCATGATGATAACAATCACGATTATGATGGTAATGGTGATGATGTATTGTGATATGTTTTAAAATTGGCATGCTAGCTACATATAAGCCATCCGGCCAGTCAACCAGCCAGCCAGCCAGTCAGCTAGCAACATAAACCCCTGGCATATCCTGCCACACACCAACAAGGATTCAGTATTAATTTATAACTCTTTCGTTAAGGATCTTTTAAACGAAAAACAAAGAAGTCGGAAATCGAAAGCGTTTTGAAAAATGAATTCTGCATCGCGTTTGGAACGTTTGCGTCAGTGTTTTATTTCACATCAAGTTTTTGAGGCACTGCAACCGTTGTTCCTCATCACATTCCTCTACGGCCTGACACCGTTTCGGGTGGCTAAAAATAACAAAGGTGTTACGACGGTACAAATGTCCTTTTTCGGTTTCATCAATATCGCGCTCTACATCCTCCTCTATGGGGCGTGTTATATTGTCTCGTTGCTGCAGGATGAAACGGTCGTGGGATATTTCTTTCGTACCAAAATCTCAAATGTGGGAAATACTTTGCAGATTTGTAATGGCCTGATAACCGGGGCGGTTATTTACATCTCGGCTGTGACCCAGAGACGGAAGTTATTGCGCGTCTGTGAAATTCTCTATAACTTGGATGAGAACTTTGCCAACATTGGCATTAAAGTGAAATATTCGCGTATCTATCGTTTTTCGATTGTGATGATAATTTTCAAAATTCTGGTGATTGGTTGTTATTTTGCGGGGGTCCTGCATCTGCTGAAATCGCTGGGCATAACTCCGTCCTTTAGTGTTTGTGTGACGTTTTTCCTGCAACATTCGGTGCTGTCGATTGCGATTTGTTTGTTCTGCTTTGTGGCGAGGAGTTTTGAACGGCGTCTCGTGATTGTTAATAAGGTAGGTATGGATACTGAAGTGGACAATTATTACGGAACACAAAATTTTGAAAATAAAAATTTGAACCATATTAAATTGGTTAAAAATGTATTGTTGTAGCCAGAAATATATGGCGTTAGCTTTCATAAGATTGCCCGAGAAGAAAAGGGAGTTTGGTTTCAGACGCCTATTTTTTCAAACATACTTCGAAATTCTCATAATTTGCACATAGCCTAACTGAAGTGGCACTTAATTGACCCTAGAACAAAACTCTAGTTTGTTTGCCCAAATATTGAATGCGGTTAAAATGAAATGACAGGAACTTGTCGAAACATTTTCAATACAAACTATGTGAAGAAGACAAAACAATTGAAAAAAATTATCTGGCTTTTGGTTACAAAAAATTATTTATTAATTGTACCTTAAAACAAAAAAAAAAAGCAAAAACAAAGTTTTATTTCAATAAAAACGCCAATAAATATTTCAAACAACTTTAGTAGAGCACGAAATCATTTCAAAATATATGTATGTATAAGTCTCTGTAACTCAAACTCTATACAAATAACTAGTACAAACAAGCAGTAAATTCAGCCGGGCTAAAATTTGAATACCCTCCACCATTTGGAACGAATTTGGAAATTTCAAAAAAAAAAAAATCCGTTGACAAATCTGTAAAAATCTTAAAAATACCGAATATAGGGAGTTACCGATATATGGGGCTATACGAAGACTTGGACCTGCACCGACAATTTTCCTTCACAGGCTTTAGTGCCCATTATGAAGTGCAAATACGAAATATGAAACAATTCTGGTGATAGAACTGTCAACATATCGAATATAGGGATGTACTGATATATGAGGGCTATAAACCAAGATCAGAAAAATTGTTATATGAGGGAGATCATAACAAGTAAAAAAGCTGTAAGTTCGGCCGCGCTGAACTTTGAATACCCTCCGCCATTTGGAATGAATTTGGCAATTCTCAAAAAAAAATCTGTTAAAAATTATGTTAAAATCTGGGAAATACCGAATGTAGCTGTTATATTAGGGTCAATACGCTGACATGGACCTGCATAGGTAACTTTTATCATAACCCATTACAATTTTCAAATGCGAAACTTAAAAGAAAAATTTGTGAATAATGTAGCTAAAGTCTTTAAAATACCGAATATGGGGAGGTACTGTTATATGGGGGCCATTCGAAGACGTGGACCTGCACAGACAAGTTTCTGTCATGCTGTATTATTCAAAATACCAAATTTTAAATTTGAAATAATTCCGGTGAATAATGTCGCTAAAATCATCAATATACCGAATATCCGGAGATAACCTTATATGGGGGCTATACGAATATGTTAACCTACATAGACAATTTTCTGTCTTAGGCTGTAGTATTCATTACGAATCTCAAATACCAAATTCCAATTCCGGTGAATAATATCGCTAAAATCATCAAAATGCCGAATATCGGGAGATACCGTTATATGGGGCTGTAGTATCCATTTTGAACTTCAAATACCAAGTTTGAAACAATTCCGTTGAATAGTGTCGCTAGAATCATCAAAATACCGAATATCGGGAGGTACCGTTATATGGGGGCTATATGATAACGTGGACCTACATGCCCCATTTACGAACTTAACCTGCCTAATAAACATGTGTGCAAAATTTTAGCCTTCAATCTCAATTCATTCGAAAGATAGCGTGATTACAACAGACAGACGTACATCGCCAAATCGACTTAGAATTTTACGCTGAACAAGCATATATATACTTTGTTGGGTCTGATATGAGTATTTCGAGGAGTTACAAACGGAATGACAAAGTTAATATACCCTCCATAGTATGGTGGAGGGTATAAAAACGTATAAGTTTTTGTTGAATACAAATTATTTAGTTTAAAGTTGCATTCCAATAAAAATGGCAAACAATCAACTTTATTATAACAGGTTGGAATTCTCATGCTAATTAAGTATGAGTTCCATGACCTATACTGGCTCAAACCTTTTGGAGTCAAAAAAAGTGGTTCTCCCTCTCGCATATCTTATGCAATGGATTCAGATGTATATTAAAATACTTTCGGGGTGTTAAGCATTTCTTTTTTTTAAGGAGAATATTGTTTGAGAATTTGAGCGGAATTGGGATGTATCGTTATGTTGAGAATTGTACGCAAGACCATCGAAATAGAGAAGATCACGAGGTAAATTTTTCAGCGAAAAGGTTTTCTACTCCCTTAAAAATCAAAATGCTAAATACGGGGCACTTGAATTGAAAAATATGGTCAGACCACGGAAATAGCTGAAATCAGAGGATACATGAAAATTATGGCCAATATTTACCAATTCGTATCTGACCTAAGACTGATAACAAAATTACAACGTGCCAAATTTTGGACTATACGGCTACTTCCTATACTTTATATGAGATATGTGTAAACTTTTGGACCAATATGTGCAAATAGTTGAAGTATTCCATTTCCATACTTCTTCTAATACAGATACAAATATTGGTATGTGCAAAATTTTAAGGAAATCGATTATTCATATCCAATTTTATGCGAAATCATAAATTACGATAAATTACATATTCATATCAGATTTCCCGCTTGGAGAAATATTTAAATATAGCAAGTTGTAAAGAACCGCCGACTTGTTTCGCAAGTTATCACAGATTTATTGAAAATTGTGACCCTTTGTGGTTGAGCTACCAGAAGGAGTTCGCAGATATACATCATCTTCACAACAGATCATTCGTTAGCAAAAATGTTTGTATGTCTGAAATTTGAAGAGGGTCGGATGCTTATTTCGCTTTCTTTGAGCGTTTTGTTATTCAAAATCTGGAATTTGTTGCGGGGAGGTATCAGAAGAAACGGTTCGATCTCTACCATCTTTATAACAGATCTTGGAATCGGATGTTAATTTAATTTTATAAGCCTCAAGCATTATCAAAATGTTGATCCTTTGTGGGCGAGGTACCCGAAGGAGTGGATCGATATATTCCAACTTCACAGCAGATCTTGTGTTGGTAGAAATAATAGGATGTTTGAAATAAGAAGAGAACCGGATGCTCATTTCGATTTTATAATCGTTTTGCTTATTGAAAATTTTGACTCTTTGTGGGTCAGGTACCAGAAGAAATGGTCCTATCTCTACCGTCTTTACAACAGATCTTGTGTTGGTGGAAATATTGAGATGTACCAAATCTGAATGCAATCGGATATTAATTTTGCGTTTTATAATATACATGGTTATTCAAAATTTTGACCTTTTGTGGGGGAGGTACCCGCAGGAGTGGACCGATATATTCCATCTTCGCAACAGAGCTTGTGGTAATAGAAATAATAGGATGTGTGAAATATGTAGAGAACCGGATGCTTATTTCGGATTCTATAATCGTTTTTGTTATTCATAATTTTGACCCTTTGTAGGGGATGTACCAGAAGAAATGGTCCGATCTCTGCCATCTTTATAACAGATCTTGTGTTAAAGGAAATATTAAGATGTGCCAAGTCTAAATGGAACCGGATGGTAATTTCGCGTTTTATGAGCTTCCAAATTCTGACCCTTTGTGGGAAAGGTACCAGAAAGAGTGAACCGATATATCCCATATCCACAGCAGGTCTTGTGTAAGTAGAAATAATTGGGTGTGCGAAATATGCGGATGCTTATTTCGCATTTTATAATCGTTTTGGTTATTCAGACCCTTTGTGGGGGAGGTAGCATATCTTGTATTGATGAAAATATTGAGACATGCCAAGTCTGAATGGCATTGGATTTTAATATCGTGTTTTATAAGCTTCGTGAATTTTCAAATTTTGGAACATTTGTGGGGGAGGTACCACAATGCCTCATCTTTACAGAAGATCTTGTGGTAGTAGAAATATTGAGATGTGTGAAATTTGAAGATAACCATATGCTTATTTCGGATTTTATGATTGTTTTGGTTATTCAAAACTTTGACCCTTTGTGGGGGAGGTTCCAGAGGGCGTATACCTATACACCCCATATTCACACCAGATCTTGGCCTAATAAAAATATTGTGATGTGTGGTATATGAAGACAATCGGACTGTTACACCACATTTTATAGGATTTATAATTATTCTAAGTTTTGTGGGCAGGTACTTGATGGATTGGACCAAGGTTGTCCGTTTTCGCATCGGACCTAACACTGATGCAAATATTAGGATCAGCAAAATTGTAGCTAAATCGGATTATCCTTTCTCTTTCTGTGCAGTAAAATTGTGTCTTTGAATAGTTCGACCTTTTGTGGGGGAGGTACCAGAAGACATGTTCCGATCTCTACTATCTTTATAACAGAGTTTTTGTTGATAGAATCATTAGGGAGTGTCAAGTCTGAATGGAACCGGATGTTAATTTCGGATTTTATGATGAATGTCCCGAAAGGGATTTAGTCCAAAGAGACCTAGTGTCTAAAACCTTTATTTCGATGAGGCAGGTTTTGACCGTATTAACTGAAATATACCTTCTCTAGCCATATGGGTGAGGGTATAAAAAGTCTTTGTTCTATGAACAAATTATCCAAACTTCATACTTCTAACTTCGTCCGTTACGAAATATAGACTTTTATAACAAGAATCCCAATTTGTCCCCACTGTGCGAAGCCCTTTAAACAAATCTCTATTTTATGGAATGTTATGTTTTTGGTAAAAAGTCTTCATTACTTCCCGGAATATTAACATATTTTCGGAAGTAGTCCCAGTACTCCCCGGGGATATTCTATTTTTCACACCAAACACGCGACTTCTTAAAACACATAAAAACTTCTGTAGTTTCTTTCTTGTGAAAAAAAAACTGTCACATCCCAGGAGATCCAATAATGTCTAATTTGATGATAGCTTCTCGCGAACATATCATTTATAGCCAGTTCCCTTTAATTGCCACGCAAATGAATGGGGGGGCAATAATAGTCAAAGAGTCAAAACACTTGACATCAGCCGAGGTAAGAGATCATCCAAAGACGACACATTCAAATGTCTGTTATTAAATATTTATCTGGGGTATTAAAACAATTACATGGGGGGCCGAATGGCAGTCAAAGGAACAGCACATTCGTCATTGCCAGGCGAGTCGGCAAGGAGTAGCCTTCCACCCTTCGCATTTTACCAGACAACCAAAATGACAACAATAAAGAAAGCAACAGGTGACAGAAAACCAATTCGCTGCGATAGTGTTCGGCATGTAGTTGGCTTTTTTGTTTGCCTCAAATCAGTCAGTCGGTTTTAGTTTGTTGCTTAACCTCCGTCGAAATGGACACCGAAGAAGTTGTGGAAAGAATTCCTGTGGAAAGTCCGCTGAAAAATCGTCTTCGCCGTCTTTTCTCTGCCAGCCAGATGTACGAATGTATACAGCCTCTGATGTTCTTGCTCTACTGGCATGGCCTGAGTCCTTTCTACATAGCCAACGATAAAAATGGCAAAAAGGAGCTGAAGGAATCCATGTGGGGTTACATCAATGTCGGTGTCCATATTTTGGTCTACGGCGCCTGTTATATCCTGACTTTAACGAATGACCACGAAACGGTCGCTGGACATTTCTTTCAAACGGAAATTTCATTCTTTGGCGACTTCATGCAAATACTCAGTGGATTTATTGGCGTGACTGTTATTTACCTCTCGGCCATATTGCCGAAACAGTATGTCCAGCATAGCTTGGCAATTATCCAGTTTATGGATGACCAGTTGCGTGAGTTGGGCGTAAGGATACGTTACACGAAAATCATACGTTTTAACTACGTGTTCCTGGCATCGATGATTTTGGCAAATTTGTGTTATACGATTGGCTGTATCTTCATCTTGAGATCGGGTGAGAGGATACCGTCGTTTTCGTTACATGTCACGTTCGTAATGCAGCACACGGTGGTGTTGTATGTTGTAACGGTTTTCGGATGCTTCACCCGGATGCTGGATATGCGTTTCCATATGATGCAGAAGGTAAGTGGAAGGGAGGAGGGTGAAAATGGGGAACGTGAAAATTATTGTGGAAGTTCCGAAAAGTTAGAAAGAGTTAATCGGTTCCGACAGATATATATCCTCATAAAATGGAACCAGAAATTCACTTCTAGAAAATAACTTTTTCACCTAAAATTGTTCAAATGTGTCAAAAAAATACGTCCTATGAGAACTATTCAACCTTCTGTCAAATCTCAACTTTGCTTTAATTTTCATACCCTCCAACAAAGTATGGAGGGTATATTAAGTTTGTCATTCCGTTTGTAACATCTCGAAACATACATTTTAGACTCCACAAAAAATATATATTTTCTTGATCAGCTTAAAATTCTATGTCGATGTAGCGATGTCCGTCCATCTGTCCGTCCGTCTGTGGAAATCTCTCTAGCTTCCGAACGAAATGAAGTAGGAAGAAGAAGTAGTAGTGATAAATATTTACTTAAATGTGTATTATCTCTGCAGGACTTTTGGTATTGAAAATGGGCCATATAGGTCCACGTTTTGGTATAGCCCTCACATAATGCTACCTCCCTATTTTCGTTTTTGGTGATTTAAGCCACATTATTCACCGGAAATGTTTCAAATTTGGTATTTGAAGTTTGTAATGGATACAACAGCCTATGACAGAAAATTGTCGTTCCAAACGGTAGAGGGTATTCAAAGTTCGCCCGGCCGAATTTACAGTTTTTTTAATGGATATCAATATTTATTTGAAATAAAATTCTTATACATTTTTTAAGAGATAGTCCTCCAAAAAATCTATAGAAAATATATACAAATAATAGAAAAAATACCCGATTTGTGGCAATTAAGCTTTTAAGAAATATTTTTAGACGATTCTTGCCGCCGTTTTTCTGGCAAGGAAGGTCTTTAAAAAAACAACCACAAATATGTTTTTTTTTTTTTCAAAGGAGGCCCTTGAAGAAATTAATGTCTGGGGGTACTGTTAAAAGGGGTCTATAGCAAAATTTGGTCCTATATGTATAGTTCTCTGCAAAAATATTTCCTCACACTGGCAACACATACTGCCAAAGTAAGGTAAATTCGGTCTGTGTGGTAGAGTTATATGGGGACCTCTGCCAAAATGTGGACACAGATGAACCATTTTTAAACCAAAGATTCTACGGAGGACTTAAAAATCTAATGGCAAACTTAACATAACCTTCGCAATATGATAAAGGGTATAAAAATCTCCAATTATCTATCAAGAAGTCCTTAAAATATTCGAAAAAATCCGTAATTTTTTAAGAAATTCGTTTTTAATTTTTCCAATTTTTGTCTAGAAATCTTAAAAACTTTTTCCAAAGGATGGCTACATTGGGTATATGTTATTTAATACAGCCAAAACGTACCTCATCGAAATAATGGTTTTAGACCCTAGGTCTCTTGGACCAAATCTTTTTCAGGTCATTTGGAGTCAGAAAGGATATTCCGATTTTGCTCTAAATTTGCAAATCGTAATTTTTGCATTAGGTTCGAAACTGGACGATATCGGTCCACTCCATCAAGTACCTCCTCCACAAAGGGTCAACCTTTTGAATAATTATAACTCTTATAAAATGTGATGTCAGGGTCCGATTGTCTTCTAATTACACACATCACAATATATTTATTAACCCAAGGACTGGTGTGAAGGTGGGATATATCGGTCCACTCCTTCTGGTACCTCCCCCACAAAGGGTTCAAATTTAGAATACCCATGAAGCTCATAAAACGCGAAATTAACATCCGATTCCATTCAGACTTGGCAGATCTCAATATTTCCATCAATATAAGATCTGTTATAAAGATGGTAAAGATCGGACTATTCCTTCTGGTACCTCCCCCACAAAGGGTCAACGTTTCGCATAATCAAAACGATTATGAAATCCGAAATAAGCACCCGTTTCTCTTCATATTTCACACATCATATTACATCTACTAACACAAGATCTGCTGTGAAGATGGGATACATAGGTCCACTCCTTCTGGTATCTCCCTCACAAAGGGTCAAAGTTTTAAATAACCAAAAATATCATAAAATCCGAAATAATCATCCGGTTCTCTTCATATTTCATATATCCCATTATTTCTATTAACACAATATCTTCTGGGAAGTTGCGATGTATCGATCCACTCTTTTTGGTACCTCCCAAACAAAGGGTCAAAATTTTGAGTATCCATAAAGCTCATAAAACGCGAAATTTACCTCCGATTCCATTCAAACTTGGCACATGTCAATATTTCCATCAGCACAAGATCTGTTATAAAAGCGCTAGAGAGCGGACCATTCCTTCTGGTACCTCCCCCACAAAGACTCAAAGTTTTGAATAACCAAAACGATTATGAAATCCGAAATAAGTACCCGGTTCTCTTCATATTTCACACATCCCATTATTTCTACTAACACAAGATCTGCTGTGAAGATGGGATACATCGGTCCACTCCTTCTGGTATATCCCCCACAAAGGGTCAAAATTTTGAATAACCCAAAGTATAATAAAATCCGAAATAATTATCCGGTTCTCTTCATATTTCATATATCCCATTATTTCTACTAACACAAGATCTTCTGGGAAGTTGCAATATATCGGTCCACTCCTCCGGGTATCTTCCACACATAGTGTTAAAATCATCATAAAATCCGAAATAATCATCCGATTCTCCTCAAATTTCACGCAAGCTATTATTTTTACTAACACAAGGTCTGCTGTGAAAATGGGATATATCGGCGCACACCTTCTGGTACTTCTCTCACAACGGGTTCATTTGAAAATTTGAAAGACAAAACGCTTATAAAATTCGGAATAAGCAACCACCTCTATTCAAATTTCACACATCCAAACATTTTTGCTAATGAAAAATCGGTTGTGAAGATGATAGATATCTGCCAACCCCTTCTAGTACCTCACCCAAAAATGGACACAATTTTCAATACTTATATCTGTCATAACTTGTGAAACAAGTCAGTGATTCTACACAACTTGCTATATTTTAATATATCTCTTAACCAGAAATCTGATATGAATATGTAATTCATGTGAATTTATGATTTCGTATAATATTGGGTATGATTGTTCGATTTCCTTCAAATTTTGTCCATACCAATATTTATACCCTACACCACAAGGTGGTCAGGGTATTATGTCTTTGTGCATTTGTTTGTAACAGGCAAAAGGAAAGGATGATCTGCATAGAATCACATTCTGAGACGATTTATGCATGTCCGTCCGTCTGTCCGTCTCTCCATGTATTCTTTTGAACAAAATGCAGGTCGCATTTATTATCCGATTGAGATGATATTTTCCAAACAACATTTGTTTGGCCCAAGGGCGAACCCTATTGAAAAGGGAGATAATCGGTAAAAATTTAGATATAGCTCCCATATATATCTTCGTCCGATTTGCCTTTTATTGTCTGGCCTGAAAATAAGTATGCCAAATTTGATCGAAATCGATTCAGATATAGCTATAGCTCCCATATATATTGTTCATCCGATTTGTTAATTTTGTCCTCCGCAACCGTAATATGCACTCTGTAACAACAATATTTGGGGAAATATATCAAATGCAGCTCAGAAATACCTTTGCTAAATTTTATCGAGATCGGTTCAGATTTGGATATAGCTCCCATATATAAATTCGTCCGATTTACCTTTTATTCTGCACCAAACGTCTAATATTTGCACATATCTCATATAAAGTATAGGAAGTAGACGATATAGTCCAAATATGTATCCAAATAGGTCAGATACGAATTGGACAATATTGGTCAACTGCTTCGGAAACTCCCCCATAAAGGGTCAGCAGTTTGTGTAATCATAACTGAAGGCTGGGGGTATATATTTATCGGCAAAACCGGCTGATACTATTTAACTTTTTTTTTTTTTGATTCAGACTACAACAAAATTTCCGGCTCCGGCTTTTCTTAAGGCGTTGGTTTTGTTTTCTAAGTATTTTTCTCATATCAAACTATTAGCTATAATGTTGGTAATTTATAGAGACAAAGTAAACATGGAGTGATACAACCACACACACTCAATAATTTGCTATTTGTTTTGCCGTAGGACCTTCTAAGACCTTTCGAATTCTTTTTTTAACTCCATTAATGAAGTTTGCATACAATATGATTTTTAACTTTCAATTACTGCAATTTTGTCATAAACTAAAGGACTCAATTTCTACAATTATGGCAAACTATCATTTGTTCCTAAAATAAATACAATATTTTATTACAACTTTGGAAAGAAATACTACAATTCATAAAACTATAAATTATTTAATTTGGTTTCCACAAAACTTCTCAATTAAATGGGCCATCGGAGAGCAAAAGAGAGCCTATCGAGTCTATTAATCCAATCAAATAAACAACGCCACTTATTATATTCCTCAAAAACAACAATAATTGTGTTTAACCCATTCATCATCCATGAAACAAACAAGTGTCTTTATTTGTAACGAATACAGCCCATCCCCTACTCCTCAATTCTTGCCATGCAATTCTCAAGGGCATAAGTTAATCAGGTATTATGCTGGCAGAAGTAGTCTTCCATTCTCCCTCCCTCTTCGCTTAACTGGTCAAAGAATTGATGTATTGTTGTCAAAACAAAGCCGAGAAAAAAACAATAAAAAAGGAAACTAATTACCTGGATTGACATCAGGGATGGGAAGTTCAGAATTAAGGTATTATTTTCTGTGAGTTCTATTGATAGGTCTTGAAGTTTTCCCCCACTCATGGGAAACGATTTATAGGAATTCCATTCATGGTAGTACTCTTTGATACCTTTCAGGGATCTTCTACCTATACAGGGTGGGATAACAGGGTGGGTGCAACAAAGTCAAACGCCATAATTGGTGGCCATTTAGCGCTGGAAATGAAGCGAGGAACCTCATTTTGTGGCGCGTGCTGAGTCCTGTTGGAATGTCCAACACCATCACCATCCTACACCATCACCATGGCTGGCGCTTGAGTTTTGGTGTGTAACCGAAGGTGCACATATTCAGCTGACCTCTTCGGCAAGTAAACACGATCATTTTGTTTGTTTATAAATTACGGGACAACCAAATTCGGCAGTGCACCACTTTCGGCCATGCGAAGCAACTCTTTAGCTCTTTTGAGTCCATCTTCTTTCTGTTGCGGTGTAAGCTCTTGCACTTTTTGGAATTTCAATGGCTTTACCCCGAGCTCATTTTTCAATATTTCGCGAATGGAATATTGCGATATGTTTAGTTCACGAGCCATTTTTGGCCAATGCGACTTGGGTTTCTATCAAGTCGCTTCTTTACTTCTCGAACCATTTCTGCTGATGTTGCTGTTTTCTTCCGTCCACTTCCTTGACGTCGGGCTACGCTACCAGTAAAGGCAGCACAGTAACGAGCGATGGTACGAGACACAAAATAACTATTTAGATTTAAATGCTCTAATGATAGCCACTTGCGGTTTTCCAGCCAAATATATAGAAATCGCAATATCACGCTTGAAATCTGTCACGAATAACTTTTTTCTGGAAATTCTCATCAAAATGCTTTTGTACGCTTGTAGACAATATAATGGCCTGTTACTGCAATAATTTTAACAGCTGTCGGACGAGTGGCTTCGAAATGGCAGCAGTCTGAAATTGGTTGCAGTTTTTTTCATCTCACCCTGTATTAATAAAATAGTAAAGTAATTGACTGACTGATTTAACCATTTATCAACGCCCAGAAGAAACTGCTGAAGCTAGAATCTTGAAAAAGGATTCTTGGAAATTGTGGGAATCAAGGTTGAGGAGTAGAGTCGATGTAAGGAGTTATTTTTGGAAGTGTGTACTCATCTATACGAAAAGTATTAAAAGCTACTACATTTGGTACAATTCGAATTTGGAGGAACGAATGAAGCTGAAATCCTGAAATTTAAAATAAACATTAATGGTGGAGTGTATGATTGGGATATGATTGAGTTTTCGAAATATATATTTATGTTCACCAAAAGTACTAAATGGTACAAAATTTGGTACAATTTCGATTTGGGTGAATCGATACAGGTGGAATTCTAAAATTTAGAAAAATATTACTATTACATTCTAGGACTGAGGAACGTAGGTAGTCTTATTTTATTGTTTTCGTCTTTATGTGTACAAAATGGTACTAAATTTGGTACATTTTAAAAACTTTTGGGGAGAACTAACACAGTTGGAATCTTAAAATTTGGGAATATGATTACTCTTTCATTGTAAAACTGAGAAATGTAGATAGTTTTTGTAATTCGTACTTATGTGTATTAAATGGTACTAAATTTTGGTACATTTAAATTTTGGTGTGAACTGGTAGAGTTTGAATCCTTGAAATACCTTGAAATAAATTTTGAAATACGATTACCGTCGATTGGATTGGGATATGTAGGGGGTTATGAAATTTTGTACTTAAGTGTACTAAATGGTACTATATTTGGTACAATTTGGATTTAGGTGCACCAATAGAGCTGATGTGATGGAAATTGGAAATAAGATTACCGTAATTTTGGAAATTTGTACTTATATGTACTAAATAAAGTACCATTTGTATTGGGGCGAACTAACAGGGGTGGAATCCTAAAAATTTGGAATGGGGATTACGGTGGGACTGTAAGATTGGGGTATGTAGGAATCTTTGTATATTTGTACATAAGTGTACTAAATGGAACAAAAGTTTTGTTACAGATTGGAATTGTTATGAACCGCTGGAGCTGGAATTTTGAAATTTGGAGTGAGAGTCACTGATGGAGTGCAGGATAGATGCACCGAAAGTGTTTTAGGAAATCCGAACTTAAGATTTAGGAAATATTCTAAAATGTTACTAAACTTCTAAAACGGTGGCATTTGGTATTATGTGAACGGATAGAGCTAAAAACTAAAGATTTGTTATGAGAATCAAGTTAGGGAAGAAAGATTTATATATAATGGTGGTTTTGGAAATAAGTTATAATTTTTCGAACTGTACTAAATGGTACTAAATTGAAATAAGTTTGGTTTAGGGTGAACGGATGAAGACAAAATTTTCAAATGTTATATTGGGATCCCTGTGGGTATTAAGTTTGTGATAAAGAGGTGGTTTTGGAAATGTGAACTACAAATGCACGAATAGTACGAAATAGTACTCTATTTGGTACAATTTGGTATTACGGACGCTATTCATGTGTAGCCTGGACATATAAAGTTGGTTTCGGAAATGTGTACTATTATAGAAAGAAAAGTACCGAACGGTACTATATTTGGTATAGGGTGAAGGAATAGAGATAAAATTCTGAAATTTGATATTTAGGTTACTGACTGCATCTGTGTTTGCACTAAAAGTACAAAATGGTACTAAATTTGGTATTGAGTGAAGGGATATGGCTGGAATCTCCAGATTTGATATTGAGGTCTCTGTTGGTATCTGGAATTGATATATGAGGGGTGCTTTTGAAAATGTGTACTATAATGGTATGAAAAGTACTGAATGGTACTATATTTGGTATTGGGTGAAGAGATAGAGATAAAATTTTGAAATTTCATATTCAGATTACTAATGGTATCTGATTTTGTGTATGGTACTAAATTTGGTTTTAAATGATTGATTTTTCGGTCTCTGGGTATTTAGAATTGAGATATGAAAAAAGAAATAGAAACGTGCACTATCAGGGTGAGATGAAAAAACTGCAACCAACTTCAGACTGCTATCATTTCTAAGCCACTCGTCCGACAGCTGTTCAAATTATTCCAGTGACAGTTCATTATATTGTTTACAAAGTTTACAAAATTAAAGCCTTGGGTACGGAAACATTTTGGCCACAGACCTATGAAAATCTGTTGTAATCACGCTATCTTTCGAACGAATTGAGATAGAAGACTAAAATTTTGAAAACATGTATATTTTATCAGTAGGCAAGTTACGTTCGTAAATGGGCCATGTAGGTTCACGTTATCATATAGCCCCCATATAACGGTACCTCCCGATATTCGGTATTTTAAGTTCGAAATGGATACTACAGCCTAAGACAGAAAACTGTCTGTGCAGGACCACGTCTTCGTATGGCCCCCATATGAAGGTTCCTCCCAATATTCGGTGTTTTGATGAATTTCGCGACAGGAATTGTGTCATTTTTGGTATTTGAAGTTCGCAATGAATAGTAAATCCTAAGACAGAAAATTGTTTGTGCAGGTCCACGCCTTCGTATAGCCCCCAAGTAACGGTACCTCCCGATAATCGGTAATTTGATGACTGTAGCTACATTATTCACCGATTTTTTTCTAAGTTTAGCATTTGAATATTGTAATGGCTTATGAAAGAAATTACCTATGCAGGTCTATGTCGTCGTATTGACCCTAATATAACCGCTACATTCGTTATATTTAAGATTTTAACGGATTTTATTGTTTTTGAAAATTGCCAAATTCGTTCCAAATGGTGAAGGGTATTCAAAGTTCGGCCTTGCCGAACTTACAGCTTTTTTACCTGTTTTGTATATTTTACATCCCATCCCTGATGGTAATAATTCCAAAGCAAGAAACCTATGGAGAAAGGTAGCCAGGGTATGGAGGCCAGTCGTCCATCCAGCCAGACTATCCATGTCGACACGAACTTACACACACATACACACACTCTTGTTTATGTGATTAAATATTTAAACGGGTGTCGCGTAATTTTCAATAAAACAAATGACCACCTTCGACACCAAACCAGTTCCCTGATGGCGGAGGCGCACGCAAGCCCCCCAACCACCCAACACCCGCAGGACTAAATCAACAGGTTCATTAGCATTGCGGTGAAAATAGATTATTTACATAACCTTCAATAGGGAAATGATACTTGTGTGTGTGCGTGTTTGTGTGGGGGACAAGAATTGAGAAGAATTTCTTGCGGTTTCCACAAGTGGTCAGTTTTCTTTTATCCTTCAAACGAAATGGATGTTGAGCTGCAAGAAACGCCGGAATTGGAACATCCTGTTATCGGTCGTTTTCGGAGATTTTTCACAGCCAAACAATTTTTCGAATGTCTGCAGCCTTTGTTTTTCCTACTCTACTGGCATGGCCTGGTACCCTTTTACATCGATAGCGATGCGAATGGCGAGAAACGAATGAAACAATCCGCATGGGGTTATGTCAATGTAGCCCTCCACATCGTTGTCTATGCGGCCTGCTACACCATGACGTTGTTGAATGATTTCGAAACTGTGGCCGGTTACTTCTTCAGTTCGCACATCTCACATTTTGGAGATTTTATGCAAATCCTAAGCGGATTCCTGGGCGTAATGGTAATCTATTTGACGGCAATTATTCCAAAGCAGTATGTCCAACACAGCATGGCAGTAACGCAGGAAATGGACCATCTGCTCCGTGGCATGGGCATCAAAATAATGTATAGTAAAATATTGCGCTTCAGTTATATTTATATTTTGACTATGGTCACGGCGAATTTGGCCTATACCACGGGAAGTTTCCGACTGCTAAGGAAGATCAATGAGCGGCCATCGTGGTCGCTGCATGTCACTTTTATACTGCAACATACTGTAGTGCTGTCGGCGGTGGCAATGTTTTCCTGTTTTACGCGAATGATTGAAATGCGTTTCAACATGATGAATCAGGTGAGTGGAGGGGATAAAGTGGGAGGAAGGAGGTTAGATTTAATAGAATTAAAAGGGGAAAATTGAGTGAAATACTGAAAATGGAAGAATTCAGAACATCGGAAAGGCTTTCTGACCCTCGAGAAGAACTTAAAAAGGTCTTCTGGCTTCAAAAGACCCCAAAAAAGTCTTCCTGCTGTAGAAGACCTCGAAAAGGTTTTCCGGCTATAAAAGACCTTTAAGAGCTCGTTCGGTTATAGAAGACCTCGAAAAGGTCTTCCCGCTATAGTAGACCTCTAAAATGTCTTCTGGCTATAGACGACCTCGGAAAGGTCTTCTGGTTATATAAGAACTCTAAAATGTTTTCTCGCTGCAAAAAAGATATTCAGGCTATAGAAGACCTCGATCTTTATCCATAAAATACCTCGAAAAGGTTTTCTGCCTATAGAAGACCTCTAAGAGGTCTTCCGGCTATAGAAGACCTCTGAAATGTCTTCTGGCTACAAAAAAGATATTCAGGCTACAGAAGACCTCGACCTCTAAAATACCTCGAAAAGGTCTTCTGGCTGTAGAAGACCTCGGAAATATCTTTTGGCTATAGAAGAGGTGTTTCGGCTATAAAAGACCTTGACCCTGCTGGCTATAGAAGATATCCAAGAGTTTTTCTGGAAGGTCCTTTAAAGGTCCTCTGACTATAGAAGACTTCGAGAAGGCCTTCTGTCTATAGAACTCCTCCAAAAGATCTACTAGCTACAGAAGACCTCCAAATGGTATTCGATCTATAGAAGATCTCAAAACGGTCTTCTGACTGTAGAAAACCTCGGGAAGGTCTTCTGGCTACAGAATACCTCCTAAAAGGACTTCTGGCTATAGAAGACCTAAAAAAGTTCTTCCGGCTACAGAACACCTCGAAAAGTTCTTCCGGACATAGGAGACCTTGAAGAGGTCTTATGGCTACAAAAGACTTCGAAAAGGTCATATGGCTGTGGAAGACCTCGAAAAGATCATATGGCTATAGGAGACCACTAAGAGGCTATAGAAATCCTCGAAAAAATCTTCTGGACTTCGAAAAGATCTTCTAGATATATATGACCTCGGAAAAGTCCTCTGGCCTTAAAAGTCTCTTAAGAGGTCTTCCGGCTACAGAAGACCTCGAAAAGATCATATGGCTATAGAAGACATCAAAAAGGTCTTCTGGTATTCTTTTGGCTATAAAATACTTTGAAAAGGTATTCTGGTCATAGAAGACCTGAAAGAGGTCTTCCTGCTATAGACGAATACTAAGTGGTCTTCCGGCTATAGAATATCTCGAAAAAGTTTTTTAGCTTCAGAAGACTTCGAATAAGTCTTCTGGCTACAGGAGACCTCGAAGAGGTCCTCCGGCCGCAAAGGAAGACCTCCAAGAAATGTTCCGGCTATAGAAGCCTCCAAACCGTCTTTTGGCAATAGACGATCCCATAAATGTTCTCTGGATATAGATGCCCTTCAAAAGTTCTTCTTCAATAGAGGAGTCCTCAGGAAGGGATTCTTTCTATAGAAGACCAGGGAAAAGTGTATTTTTCAGAAGAGGAGAAGACGAAGGGGTGTTATTTTAAAGTGAAAAAAACGATAGGTCTACCATTTGACGAGAAGACCCAAAGGGAAGACCAATTTAGACCTACATCAACAGAACATATTAGATCTTCGATTAATTGAGGCTTTAAACAGTTCGGTCCAAAGTAAACTTTTTAAGGTCTTCAGAGGAACCTTGTAGTCTTTGTAAGGCGTCTTTCTCTAATTTTTACTCCTTCTATTAGTCACCATTCCTTTTCAATTTTTTTTCCTTTCTTCCTGTTTTAAAGGTAAGAGGGGGGTTGAAAGAGAAGACAACAATTTTTATTTCCCAAAAATCGTCCTATTAGGAACTTGTGATGAGTTTAACTGAAATGAAATGTCAATTAAACCACAAACGGGCAACTAAAGTGGTCAATCATTTTTAAATGAAATATGTCAATCATCTGAATCCACCCTCAACTATAAAAGCAAAAGGATACGAAATGAAATTCCACAGTATTTTCTTAAATCGCACCACCATGGCATTTTGGTTGGATTTCCTAAATCCGCAGGACACCTATGCCGCCGAGAAAACTCTACTCTTCGTGACCTTTATCCTGGGTCTGACACCGCTACGCATTGCCGGTCCATTTGGCAGGCGACGCATTTACATATCCCGTCTGGGCCTAGCCATCACCCTGCTGCAGAGTACCTTCTTTGTCTATTGTTTCCTGCATTCCTTTCTGCTGGAAGAATCCATTGTGAGATTCTTTTTCAAAACGGAAATTTCCAAAATCGGTGATATTTTGCAGAAATTCATAGGTCTGACGGGAATGTTGATTTTGTTTGGTATGAGTTTGCGACATAGCCGTGATTTGGTGGAAATGTACACGACAGTGGCCCAAATCGATTGGCGTTTTCGAAATTTGGGTGTTGAATTCAAATATCGTTATATTATGAATTTTCGCCACACCAAATTGGTGATGATGGTGGTGGTCTGTGGCAGCTACATGACCAGTTGTATGTGGATATTGTTCCATAATCAAATCTGGCCCTCGTTCCAGGCGGTGGGAGCGTTTTTTCTGCCGCATGTCTTTATTTTGAGTGTCGTGGTGTTGAATGTCTCATTTGCAATGCGTTTTGGTCAGCAATTTGATCTGCTCAATCGGGTGAGTTTCATATTTTTTTTTTTAATTATATGAAAATGATTCGAGGAAAATCAAACCTTGCTTAATCCGGCAATTTTTCCAAAGAATTGCGAAAGATAGTTGTCAGAAGTCTCTATAAAGTGATGTGGAAGTGAAATTGTTTTGGGATTTTAACAAATTTCAATCCCAGATGATGTTCGTCGATGCCGATCGAAATACTGGAAATAAAATGATGAAACCAAATATTTTTTAATACTACTGACCTCGGGCATAATTAAAAAAAAAGAAAAACAAAGCTTACAAAAAAATCCGAATAGTTTGCATTTAAATGTATTTATGATTATAATTTTGAAATAACTGTTTTTAAATCCATCTCTGATAAAACCCAGATTGTCTGTGACCAAATACAAATTCGTTCAATCTCTTTGGTATCCTAAAGGCAATAGCCTCAATTAATTTAATATGCAAAAATATTATAAAAAGCAATTAGTTAAAACTAAATAAGCTGAGGGTGCTGATGCCATAATAAAAGTAATATTTTTAAAACACGTGAATGGTAATAGCGTAGGACTTAACTGACTGTCCTACAGACTACTCAAATACTCAGGACTTTATAAGTTTGGTTTGGTTCCTCTTCTATGAAAAGCGATTGCTTTCCTCCTCTACGAGGGGTCTCCTTAATTTGCTTGTTTATCTATATTACAAGATCAACTAGTCTTCTTCCTTTCAATAAGTCAATCCTCTCCCAATTAGAATTTAACTATGAACAGAGCCACTGATATTTTCCTCTATGAGAGAACCCACACTTGACTTCTCCTATCTCTAGAGAAGAACCATTGTTATTATACTCTAGAGGAGAACCAATGAAGAAGACCCAATGGTCTTCTTTTGTAGATCTTCTTCTCTTTGATAGAACTGATTCCCCTCCGACCTCTACCATCTTTATAACAGATCTTGTATTGATTGAAATTTTGAGATATACCATGTCTGGAATTGAATCGGATTTTGATTTCGCTTCTTATGAACTTCGTGGATATTCAAAATGTTGAGCGTTTGTGGGGGAGGTACCAGAAGGAGTGGACTGATATATTCCGTCGTACTACCAGATCTTGGGTTCATAAAAATAGTAGGATGTGTGAAATTTGAAGACAATCGGACTCTTACATCATATTTTTTAAGAATTGTAATTATTCAAAATTTTGACCCCTTGTGGCAATGGCATTTGATATAGTGGAACCAATATTATGCATTTTGGCACAAGACCTAGAACCGATGCAAATATTAGAATTTGCAAAATTAGAGCAAACTTAGATTATTGCTTCCTTTTTTTTGTTTTAAATATTTCGAACTTTAGTGGGGGGGGGGGTACCAAAAGGAGTGGACCGATATTGTCCGTCTTAACACCTGACCTTGGGTTAGTATAAATATTGGGATGTGTGAAATTTGAAGACAATCGGCCTCTTACATCACATTTTATGGGAGTTGTAATTATTTAATATTTTGACCATTGTCCATTTTCACACCTGACCTAGCACTGACGCAAATATTGGATTGTCCTTTCTCTTTCTAGGATTTGCAAAGTTGGAGCAAAATCGGATTATCCTTTCTCTTTCTGTGCAAAAAATATATTTTTTAAAAATTTCGACCTTTTGTGGGTGAGGTACAAGAAGGAGTGGACCGATATTGCCCATCTCCGAACTCAATCTAAGTTTGGCAAAAATATTACGATGTACCCAGTTTGGGCCAAATCGGATACTCCCTTCGAGAGTTATCGTACGCACCAGCCAGACTGACAGACGGAGGAAGGACGGACATCGATCGACTCCAAATGTTCTGAAACGGATTTGGTCCAAAGAGACCAAATCAAATTGTACCGTATCAAATTGTATATACCCTCTGTAGCCATATGGCTGAGGGTATAAAAATCATGCATTCCTTCTCTATGTGAAAACTAATTTCCTCTCTCAGAGGATTTTTGGTGTTATCCTCCATGAAAGTATAAATTGGCCTCTTGTACAGGAAATCCCATTGCCCCTCTCTTGTATGAGAGGGTCTCTCTTTATATTGTGAGCAGGACTGCTCTATACTAATTTGAGTAAACCCGTTAGTTTCTTCGTGTTTAAGAAGACCCATAGAATTCCTTTTTATAGAAGATCTCCTCCTGATTGGGAAGACCGACTGGCATTTGCTTCTATTAGAAGATCCACCAGGAGAACAATCATTGGCATCCTCCTCAATAAAAAAAAACACCGGTCGTCTCTTCTATGAGAAGATTTGTTAGACTTCTTCTCTCCTTAGAACTCTTTCATATGGGGACACCCATTGATCTTCTCCACTTTGAGCGAAGGTCTGCCAGAGAACCCATTGGTAGTCTCTTAGGGAATTTTCGTTAGTCATATATTTTTCTTTCACATGGGAAGATATCTTCTTTTCTTGTCTATGAAGGAGCCTACTGATCTTTCAATGTTCTGCTTTATGAGAAGAATTATTTGCATCTTGAAAATCTGTTACTCTTCTCTTCTACAGGAAACCTGCTAGTCTTCCTATCAATGAGATAAATCATTTGTCTTCCCCCAATTGGGAGAACTCATTGGTCTGTGTACAAGAATCCGTTTTTCACCTTTATGGAACGACATTAAGGCTTTTCCTCTCTGAGAAAACCCTCCCTCTTGAAAAGGAGGTTATATTAACTTTGTCATTTCGTTTGTAACATACCTTAATATTCGTCGTAGAACCCATAAGGTATACATACAGGGTGAGACAAAAAACTGCAACAATGTCAAAAGCCATAATTTTTACATTTCTTTATAAATCTTATCGAATAAAAGCAAAATGTCAGAAATAGCATCAAATTTTGGAATAAGTTTAAATTTTTTCGAATTGGTCAGCTTTGGCACGAATTATGGCCTTCAAACGACCACACGTTGCCCGAATATTGCTCCGCGGTATTTTGTCCCATTCCCGGCGAAGTGCTTGCTTGAGGTGATCGACACTTTGTTATTTTTTAGAGCCAACCTTGGTTTCCAAAATACTCCCGACAAAATAGTGCAACGGATTGGTATTCGGAGATTTTGGTGGCCATTGTGCGCTGGAAATGAAGCGAGGAACCTCATTTTATAACCATTTTTGGGTGGTGCATGCTGAGTGCGATGGTGGTGAGTCCTGTTGGAATGTCCAAGGCCAAATTGTTTGCGTGCCCAAGGCTTTAATACACCCTTCAGAATATTTTCGCGATAATATTCGGCATTTATTCTGATGTCACGGTCGATTAATACGATCGGAGAGCAACAATCGGCTGTTATGGTGGCCCACACCATCACCATGGCCGGCGCTTGAGATCTGGTGACCAACCGAAGGTGCACATTTTCAGCTGACCTCTTTGGCAAGTAAGCACGATCATTTTGTGTGTGTACAAAATGCTGGAAAACGATTGTTTTCTCATCAGAGAAAACCAAATTCGGCAGTTCACCACTTTCGGCCAAGCGAAACAACTCTTTAGCTCTTTTGAGTCTATTTTCTTTCTGTTGCGGTGTAAGTTCTTGCCCTTTTTTGAAATTTCAATGGCTTTACCCCGAGCTCATTTTCTAATATTTGCTGAATAGAATATTGCGATATGTTCAGCTCACGAGCCATTTTTCGGCCACTGCGACGCGGGTTTCGATCAAGTCGCTTCTTTACTTTTCGAACCATTTCTGCTGATGTTGCTGTTTTCTTCCCTCCACTTCCTTGACGTCGGGATTTAAGATTTATTCACATTTAAATGCTGGAGTGCTCTGATATAATGAGCTGTCACTGCAAAAATTTTAACAGCTGTCGGACAAGTGGCTTGGAAGTGACAACAGTCTGAAATTGGTTAGAGGTTTTCCATCTCACCCTGTATTTAAATAATCGATCATTGGCTGAGGGTATACGTCTGTCGACAGAACAGACTAATGCTTTTTAAATTCTTAAATTGTCTTTTTTAAAAGGTTTTTGGAGGAGAAATATTAGCTTTCTACCTTCTTTGAAAATTCTTCTCAAAATTTCCGTTAAAGACCGAATAGGAAGATCGCTAATAGCATACTCATTATCATATGAAATTGTAGGGTATAAATATACTCATTTAAACACAAAAAGGGCTCCATAGAAATCCCTTTCTGAATGTGTATCTGTTTATGAGTGTGTGACAATTTGTGAACCATCACAAAAAATTCCGCATTCATAGACCACTTATTAACACGTATATCCAATTAATTAAACATTCTGGCTAAGCACTGATGCTATCAACCCTAATGTAATGCCATTAAAAATGAAGTTTGAAGTGCTTTTGGCCACTGCACTGGGGCCACTTCATTAGTGGTGTCGTCAGTTGAGTTACAACTTTCAAAGCGCAATGTCCTCGGCAATACTTCTACCACGAAGTGTACAAATATTTTGGCGTGATGTGCAAAAACCCGGAGATATTTATGGCAGTTTGAGAATACTTTTCCTCATCACCTTTCTGGGAGGTGTTCTCCCATTGGAATATCGTTCGAAACCAAAGAATCATTTGAAGCCAACAATTCCCTCCTACTGCTATGCCATTTGTATTTTCGTTTTCTTCGTTTTTATCTTCCTCTACGTGAAGACCACCGGCGAATCGGTAATGGAACATTTCCACGAATCGAATGTGTCGCGTTTTACGGATAACATGCGCAAATTTAATGGCATGATTGGTCTGTTGATTGCCCTCGGTCTGGGGCTATGACGTGGTCGAGTGTTCGTTAAACTCCTACAGCAGTTGGAGGATTTGGAGTTACGTTTATCCCATTTGGGATTGGCGTTCCATCAGAGGAATAATGCATTTTGGATAAATTTGGTGATTGTATCCCTGAGCTGTGCAAATTTGGCATTCATTTTGTATGGTTCGATTGTTTTTACTTTGAGTGAGATTTTCGTATCTCCCTGGGCTTGGATCTCATTCTATTCGCCGCATTTGATTGTCAGCTGTATTGTGATGTTGTTCAATGCTATCATGCAAAAAGTGACGATGTATTTCAAGA